CGCAGCCGCCAGAGTTCTATTGGAATGGCATCCATAGTTTGCATAAACGTTGGCGTGAAGTGATAGAGGCCAATGGTGATTACATTCATGATTGAGATGATTTTGCTTTTAAATAAACTGGGTTGTAATAATTGTTCATGAAATTCCGAGAACTTTCTTTCCAATCAGATAAATTTTATCCCGTAAAGAAAAGTCTTCTATATTGGGATCTTTGAGGAACAAAGTTTTCTTCCCTCTAAATCGTCACTCTCAATTTGGTTAAGAACTTCAGATTAGGTATTCCTAGATGAAATACAGACATCGAAAGTAATGGGTTGTCCTGGGTGATAGGAAATGATTGCGTTGTAGAAAGGAAGGCACCCGCAAGTACTACCTGGGACTTCTCCTGGGGATATCCAAGGGGATATCTCCGGGACATCTCTGGGATGAGCTAGTTCTTCAAGAAAGGGACATCCTTGGGATGTCTTTGGGCCCAGACATTTTGATATCCCTAAGATGTCCCTACCTGTTGTCTCTGGGACATCGCACTTGTCCCAAGGGGATATATTTGGGATATACCTGTGCTGTGTGGGATAGAGCGAGTTAAATGTCGGATCAATCTCAAAGTGTCTCTAGAGCAGTGGTGCCCAACCTGCGGCCCGCGGGCAAAAAGTGGCCCGCGAGGCCCTAACCCACAATAAATACCCTTAGGTTTCCGTAAAATAGTCTCCTACAATACTAGTGACCGGCCCGCGATGGCTGTGGGAGTGAGCTATGTGGCCCTCTAGACGAAAAAGTTGGGCACCACTGCTCAATAGCTATTCCGCTATCAGATTCAGGTATACAGCGTTTTGAGCTGTTCTACAAGTGCGTGCGATAGAGGACGATATAACTTGCATGAATATTATCAGAAGACTCCTGGGCAGTGGCGTATTTTGGCTGAAAGGTCAGGTGGAGCAGGGCAACAGAGTGGAAACGCCAAATCCCACCTGAGCCATATCAGGGGAGAACGTTATTACTGTACTTCCAAGGGGGCGCCTGGACACGGCCCTGTCTTCAGGATATTCTATAATGACCATGGGACAAGTCGTCCAGTTGGGGACATCCCTGGGATATCACCGTGTTGCGTGGGTTATCCGCCAACAGCAGTTCATTGAGCGAACTTGTAAAATCGACTATAAAAAATCCGGAATAGGGCATATTGGAGCAAAATTAGGATGGTCGGGCTCGCATTGTCGCCCCGAGTTCATTGAGCTAATCAGTATTCAAAAAAAATTAGAAAATCCCATGCCGTGGCGTCAATTTTTGGGCGTGGGTTTTGTCGAAATCTGTGGCAGTGGAATTCAGTGGCGGCCAAATGCCTTTCCGATCAAGATTGGTTTGCTTCCTTTTATGTAGAGAATTCGCCGGCTCATGACATCCTCTTGTGTTTGGTGCATGGAATCAATCCTGGAACATCATATGACGACAATTCCAGGGAATATTTCACTCAAAATGGGCCAACTTTGGCTGCGTATAACTTCACCGTAGAAAGTATGTTGAAGAAAATAAAAACTATTACTCCTATAACTTCAAACGATGTTCCTAGTAATCCTTTCTTGCTGAAACATTTTCCTCAGGCCTGTTGTCAGTGAAAGCGGATTCTCTTCTTTTTTTTTAAATACTTCCTGGAGTTCCTTCCTTGGGTTGGCATAACCGATCTTCGACCTGTCGACAATCCAATCAACAAGGTGTTGCTCTTATGTACGAGGGGAAGTGCAAAAGTAGTGAGACTCGTGCTTTTATTGTCTGTCTTTCTTTCAATAAACGGAACCATAGATGGGAAAAATGTGTATCAAGACAGGAAGACTACCTAGAGAAATAAAGGGTCTATATTCGCACAAGGTATAAATAAAGTCCTACCAACATAATTACGAAGTCTCACTACTTTTGCACCTCCCTCGTAGATAGATGTAGATAATACTGGTTATAGACGCGGAGACGACAGTGCTTCAGGTCGCCTTCCTCTCACCTTATCGTACTAAGCGCATGCTGCAGTTCGTGAAAGTCATTCGTTAATTCAGACTCGCAATCCAGTTCCAATTCGCGAACCTTCTCACATTGGCAATTGTTAGTTCTATTCAGCTGTGAATTTCAAATTAGAACATTTTAAGGTTAAAAGTATAACGAGGAACACAAATCACTAAAGGGTAGCAAGGTTGAAGAAAGCTGAAAGTGTAAAGAAAGCGATGGCCTCAGCTATATCACATAAAATTGCTTGCCTTTCCATGGAAGGCAACGAAAAGGCATTTTTAATTCCGCTTCCTTCACAACCATTCCAAATGGAGCTTGCGGCCTCTTCAGAAAAAGGCTCGTGCGATGAATTAGTGCAAATGTAGTGTGGAACCTGAGAAACAGGTCAGCATTTCATGACCCGTAATTCACTGACTCATATTCACGAACCGGTGCCACTCCCCAAGCGAAATCGTCTCGATGTCGCGTGAATGTCAATACACTATGCAGTGATTCTAAATCTCCCTGACTTCACGCTTTTCCCTCACACGCTCAACTTGTCTTAGAACGGGCAGTTCTTCCGTGTGCGGACAGCTTGCTGAAAGGTGAAGAGTGCTGCCTGTCTCTATTGAAGAAAGGGGCAAGAAGTAGACTCTGATAATGTACACATTCAGTTGTGACCCGAGGGTCACAGTTCAATGTTAGCATCGGGGCTTCAAAGAGCATTTTACTCCAGAGTGACACCTCTTGTCCATGTCGTCAATCCAGGCATAAAAGGATCTTGATACACCCAGAACCTGCTGAAAACCATAAATCTGGAGTCATAACTGAATCCTCTCATTAACAACGAAGTCAGTGAAGGTCTGCGGGCAAGTCTAGCAATTTATATGTATTTGGGGACTGCTGCTGGGGTGATCAGAGAACTCGCATAGTACCTTCGACGGGAACTGGATGTTTTTCAGAGTATTGGAATGGGTGCTACGCAAGGTCGGATTGGGGGTCCATGCCCCCCCCACCCCTTCCCATAATATACGAGAAAATTTCAGGGATAGATTAAAAAGACATATCATTCAATGTGATACATAGTAATTAGCTAATGATCAGTACCAATAGCGTGCCCAGGAAATCCAAATGGTAGGGTTGACACATGAAAAGTTGGTAATCCACTCTGCATTTACACTGTTTCCGGATTGAATTCGTACCACCTCCTATAGTGGAGACTGGAGAAAACACATTTCCAAAGGTTCCGCCTCAGCAGGTGATAGATAAAACCACCCATGTGAAAGATGTCACTACCTGCAATCGATGGAAGCACTCCTGTAGGGGGTACGAATTCAATCCGGAAACAGTGTATGGCCGAATGTAAAAAAAATTTGAGAATCGAACCTGTATAATGTATTCCAAGAGGAGGGCGAAGGGGGGGGGGGGGGGGAGACACTGGGCACGCCGCTGATCAGTACAGTAATAAATACGCATTTATAATGTTAAAATCTGATTTGGGGGGGCCGAGAAATTTACCGCTATCCTGGTGGGCCAGTCCGACCCTGGAGTTACGTAACTTACGTCCACGGTCTACTTCCCGTTTCTGTCTCCAATGGCGTTTCAGTGTCTCTGAAAGCTACACGGACAGGAAGAGGCCACGGTAATGGATTTACAGGATTAATCTTAAAGGTGCACGGGGAGCCAACATCACCTCTCCAAATGAAAGGCCAACTTTTCATTGTAAATTAACTTCTGCCGCTCAATAACGCTTTGTGGTTTATTGACTGCTTGATTTCAGCAATGTTTAACTAAAATTTAAAAAACTGATATATATAAAATTGTATTTAATTCTCTATACAAAATCTACAATGAAGCTTTGGCTGACAGCCTAAAGATTCTGAAACATATGGGGGATATATCTTGAATACTAATAGCCCAATAAACCCTTTCAAAATCACTATGGTTTGGTTGCCCCCACATGGAAGTAGACCAAATAACTATTCATTGAGTGGGTGGTGTCTTCCAGGTCTCAAGGTCTTTCAGAGAGAAGGGATTATTTCACCACCACATGAACGAAAAGGTACTAACTCTCATCGGAACAGAAATAAATTTTGCAATCCCTCACCTCTTCAATACCTCATTAACATTATAACCTGGAAAAATCATAACATAATGATAAAGATATGAGTTTCTTCTTGCAATAATCCATTGCCTCACTGAAAGCTTCTACTAAACAGTAAAGGCATAATCCAAGAAAAGTAGGACAAGAGAGGATCCCTTCTGACAGAGCAGTCTTGTGTTAGGCATGATCAATCGTTTCCAAACACAAAGTGGGAATGGAGAATCTGTACCTTCCACAAGAAGCAATTCTAATAAACAATGCAGAAATATGCAACTTCCTATTCCACTTTAATTATGGAGTTAATCTCCAGGTCATGACCTTGCACCTACCCTTCTCTAAAGCTTCAATTTTCTCCATTTGGTTTCCTTCTAAACAATAGTTAACTCAAAAGGTTGCATTATTACTGATAGCACAAAGAGTATAATGCATTCTGAATTATGTAAATGTGCTCTATAAGTTTCTTTAAAATATCACATAACTGCCAATTGTTCTATACAAGATTTGGGAGACCATGAAAAAAGATGGAAGAAACACAAACTCATGGCAACTGGGAATTCTCTGAACTCATGTTTATCAAAGAAAAAAAAAAGTTGGTACAGCCTGGGAACACCAAATATCTTATAAATTGATTCTTTCAGTACAATATCAAGTAAATGAAAAGAGTGTTTCAAGTTCAAAATACAATTGCCACTAAAAAAAAAGACATGGCACATATCAATCAATTCCCAATGCAGAAAATCCTTTAGACACTCAGTTTCTCCTTCTCCTCTTTTGTGCTGGACCCCCTATAGTAGGTGATGCAGCCCTTTCATCTCTATTGTCATCACCACCAATGTCTGTCTCCATCTGTAGGGAAATCACCATCAGACAACAAAAAAAACATCTTATACCAAGATCTATCCCTACACTTATGGCACTTCCCACACAGCAAAGTAATATCCCAGGGATGTCCCTAACTGGATGACTTGTCCCCTGCTCTTCATAGGATATCCTGAAACATCTTTTGGACAGTTTTGGACATCTTGTACAGGATGTCTTCAGGATATCTAAGAGACATCTTTTAGACATCTTGCACAGGATGTCTTCAGGATATCTAAGAGACGTCTTTTAGACATCTTCAGTCAATATCTTAGAGATATCCCTTTTGGGATATCTTTGAAACATCCTTAGTCGAATGCTTATGATATCCTGGAGGGGATATCTTGAAGACATCTTCAGTTGAATGCTTTGCAACAGTGAGGCCTCCTACGTCATGTCATGAATTCTACTGCACAGTGACTTTTTGAACACCCTGTAGTTGGTGTTACAGGTACTCATTCCAACTTAGGGAGATTTGATTTTCCATGAAAGGTAAATCCCATAGCTTTCCTAAATTTTGATATCCCTTGATGTCATTCTCAAACTGCAATATGCATCATGTCTTGGTGTGATGAAAGAAAAGGTCAAACCTGTTCAGGAGAGATTGAGCTTGGTGTTCCCAAAGGCTCCAGTTGCTGGAGTGCAGCCTGAACCTTAGAGCCATTGATTCGGAAATCCCTGGCTACTCCCAGCTGCAGCTGCTTCCACATATCCACCTTCAATATGGTATCATTATAATTAATCAAAGACATTAACTTATTTCAAAGACTAGAATAGGGACAAATTTCTCTATTTGTATGGTGTGGAGCCTTATCATAAACACATATAAAAAGGAAGCAAACCTTTGATTTCTTTGACAGCCCCATTATGCACTTTTCAAACTGCTCTAGAGCAAAAACCAATGCAGGGATACTGCGTGTCTCCTTCAGTACTCGAGCTTTGGCCAACTCTGGTTTCCGCTTTTTCCCCATTTCACTTTCTCGCTGAGTTGCCTGATATATTGAGAAAGATCATAAAATATCAGAGATGCTCAAATGGGATTAAAAACACTTTAAGGATGCTACAACTTCCTTTGAAAATTATTACAACATGCCATCCTGCCAACTCACATCACCCCCAGAAAGACAATGGAGACAGATAAGTCCATTAAAAGCTCATAGACTGTACAGATCTGGTTTGGTATTGAATTATCAAAATATTTGCAGATGAATTAACTTTATGTCAAATGACAGCTAAGCGAATGTGACCACTTATAGAAGGATTCATTCAGAAGTAGCTCAAGTAGCACTGCTGCACATTGCACTTTTGAATCATGTCTGGGTTTAAGGTTTCACATCCTATATATTGTGCATTGTAATTACTAAGAAAACATGCATTTCCACTCCTACTTATCACAGCACCACAAAAACTGATGACGAGGGAACACTTTATTTTCTACAAATCACATTCAAGGGGGTAAAAATCAGAGATAATTGACAGGAACAAGAGAATTCTTCAAATTCCTTATATGTCAATGGGTATCACAGTATTTTGCCTCTCTTGAGAAGGCTGAGAAGGCTTTCTTCTAATTTTCCATCTGAAATGTGTGCAACATCACTCACTAGACTGAGAACCCAAATACAATGAAATCATTTTCCTCCTGGACTGTGCTATGAACCATAGGATTCCAAACTTGATATTTTTCTAAGTTCACTAGAGCAAGCAGAGAATCATGTCATTGACAAAATAATTTTTTTTTCTGCATTTTGACCCTTTGACAAAAATCAGCTTAACCAAAAAGATTTTTCCTACACTAAATATGAGTTCGTCCAATTTTTTTCAATATTTCAAGCGCCATCCATTTAATTCATTGACAGCTCAAGTATTAGATAATGCCACACTTCATTAATGGATGTTCAGCACTATTATATGCTCTTGACAGATCTAGACTGAGAGCATAAATGACATGACAGACTTGCCTCTGCATAGGTGATGAAGGCATACACTAAAGGAGTCAGTTTTTGACAGCAACAAGACACCAGCTTCTCAAACCTAGATATGAACCAAATAAACCAGGCATTAATGGATTTTGTTACAAAAGTACTTTTTTTGCTAAGATACCATACCTCTAAGCAAGAGCACACCTGGGGCAAATTTGATGATCCTTCTTACGCTTGCGGAAGACTTCCATGTAGTAACGAGCTATGGCTGTGTGTGTCTTATAGAAATGAGACAGGAGCTTGAAGAAAGAATCACAGCACGACAATGGTAGAGAACATTCAACCAACTCCACACAGCAGGAATAAACCATGCCCAATTGGCCACACATTCCCTGCTCAAGTGACTGGAAAGTGGAGCTGGAGGTTTCTGCAAAATGATCCACATACCACCCCATTCAATTACATATGAGGTTGTTTGTTGAGGGTGAAACCTTTAACGAACAGTACTAACCTCCAACATCTTGAACATCAATGGTTGCCCTGGCTTGACTAAGGACCCATTCAACATATGACAAAACTCTTTCCAATGTCCCAACAAAGAGAGAGCACATGCCAGGCACATCATTAATTTTTATCATTAGGAACCCATCCTCCTTCTCAGCCTCAGCATCCTAAAATCAATCATAATTCCAATTTGAAAATATAACAACCATACTTTCTGTTTCAGAAGGATGTCAAAAAGCATGCCAGTGCAAATAGAATCATACTTCACTTACATCATTCAAGTTTCCTGTAAGATAGTGTAGCCGCTTTGCTATTGTCTGAAATGCTGATGGACTTCCAATGCAACGGATAAGGAGACGCAACAATGAGCTCACTACAACCTTGCTCACTTGGGAGTCATCCACCTTGACTTCTTGGCACAGGCGCTCAAGCCAACTGCAACTCTATAAAACAATGACACATTGCCAAATTCATATGTGTCTTGAGAGGATCATGTCATGATATGTGTTATTGAGTCTTATAAATTTACCATAAAAACAGTTGGGAGTTACATATCCACATTTCTGCTATCATCAAGATCTCTTTGTTAAGATTATATTATTGTACATTGTGAGACATTAACATGTTGATTGCCATGAGGTGCACAGGTGTACCTCACTGAATAGGAAAGTCAACAGGCCAAAATTGTTGAGCAGTCAACATGTCAAAAAGACTCAATCACACAGCTCCCAATACAACTGCATCCAAGTCAGACCATCAAGGCAGCAGCAAAGTACCAATACCTTCTTGAAAAGCTTCTCCTCTGCAGGGATATCATTGAGAATAACATTCATGATATCTACTACTGGTATGGCATCTTTGGGTTTTCCTTCTTCTCTATCTCGAAGTAATTGCAACAGGAACTTCTGTAAGATTCTCAAGACCTCTCCATGGCCTTCATAGCCTTCTGCATTGGTCTCGACTAGAATGAATCACAGCATCAGATAAAATGTACGCAGCCAAAAGAAAGACATCAGGTTATAGCTTTCCGCACAATAAAATGTTAAAAGTCCTGCCATGATTTACAAAGCAGTGTTTTTTTATTAAAATAACAACAAAATGCTCATTCATGAAAATTTTTTTGGGAAACCATTAATGGTATATATGTTTTTAATTACCCAAGCATAGTGAAATTGATGACTGGAGTTCTCTAACTTGACATATTTTCCAATGTTCCCCAATCTTTATGAAAATACCACATTCTGCTGAGAATGCTGAATGGAATAAAGCAGAAAGTTAATAGTAATAAATTTGATAATAATTGCCTACCCTTGATATCAAATGTGCCACCTATAGCTTAATAGTTAGTTCATGAGTCACAACTGAGTTACAATGTCAGGCATACATAGAACCACAATCTAAAAGACATACAGGGTATGGAAAAAAAAGACCAGCAATTTTTAATCAAAAAAACTTCATTCTCACAAGAGCTATTTTCACTTCACTTTCACTGTGGATAGATGGATATGTTTCCAGCATATAAGGTGTGGCCAAGAAGTTCCAGGACTGAATTTTTTATGCATCTGGCAACATCACAAAAATTGTCATGTTGTGGACTGGTATATTTTGACTGTAGGGAAGTTTTGTGTAAGTCCTCATCTGACTGGCATCATGAATGAGATTGGCTGGCAATGTAGTAACTCATTGTATAAAAGTAACTGTCATATTCCCAGAGTGAGGCAATGCTTCACCAAGTTTTGTCTCAAACTGGGGAATACTGTAGCAATCTATCAAATGTTGCAATAAGTGCACTGAAACATTGTCCTTTCATATGTCAAGAATTTTAAACATTTTTTCAGACTTTCAGCAAGTAGAGAAGACACTGAAGACAGTGACTGGTGTGGCTTCCCTTGGCTGAATGATTGGTGGTGGACCTGAATGTCTTCTCTACTTGCTGCTACCATTCAAAATTCTTGGGGCATGACAAAGTAACTTGGCAATACACTTATTGCAACATTTGATGGATCACTGCCACTGTATTCCCCAGTTTGAGGTAAAACTTGATGAAGCATTGCCTCACTCTGGGAATATGACTGATGCTTTACACATCGAGTTGCTACATGGTCAATCAATCTCTCATTCATGATGCTAGTCAGATGAGCACTCATGCATAACTTCCCAACAGTCTTATATACCAATCCATAACAAGATAATAATTTTTGTGATGTTGCCAGACTCATAAAAAATTCAGTCCTGGAACTTCTTGGTCACATCTTGTATCTTCAAAATTTCTTACAAAATTCATCGCTCCAAGGCAAGGCTATGAGCAAAGATTAAAAAGAAGTCAGATTATGAAAATGGACAAGAGTTCTTTATTAGGTTGGATTTTTCTTGCAGATAGCTTGAATATGCTTTATTCTTATTGATGACATTATTAATAAGTATCAGAACAGAGAGCTTGTTCAAAGTTTACTCAGATTTTCCCTTGGTCTTCATCAGAAAACAAGGTAAGAGGACAAGGCACTGAGAAGGAATTTGGAGTTCTCTGGCCACATTAAACTTCAGATTCCTTCAAAAATAATCAAATACGGCCCTGCCTTGGCAGAATCAATTTGAACAAAGTTACAGAAGTCTGTTGGGAACATATCAATACATGCACAGAGCAAGTTTCATGAAAGTAGCTCCAGTGAGAACCAAGACATACAAATTAAAAGTTGCTGGTCTATTTTTTTATTGTCATAAGAAATGCATCTACAATGCTAATATTGGAGCAAGACAAGAGTGAATAATTCTAGCATTCTTTCCTTTCATGCGTTTTCAGAAGAAATTGTTCTTACTTAACACAAAAATAATTAGTCACAGACCACTGAGCTTGCCATTTGACCAAAAGGGGTAATTGGTCAATATCAATAGAAAATTGGTTCACCACAATTTCATGATAAAAAACCAATGAAAAAGCAGTGAAGGCTGGTGAGTCACTCCTTTTAGCTTAATACTCTACTCCATGGTTGTAATTACCATTGTAAAGTTTATTCAAGCTTGGAAAAAGTAAATTCACACCCAAAATGCCATCTTTTTCTCTTGTTCTCTGATCATGAGATTCTGATGGCAGATATAAGTATTCATCTATACTCCTTAAGGCACAAGGGACAACCTATTTCACAGTTCCCATGAAATAATTCCCTTGTGAAGGTTACCTTATGTCAGGTTGCATATTTTTATCTCTGAACGTTACTTAAAGGCTAATTATGGCTCAGGTTGAGAGCATTCCTAGTTGGAGAGCTTAATATGATGAATGTAAATGGTAGGTGACAAGTTTGCACACAGATCAGCTAGTCTGGTCCATGACCAAGTGCTAGTCCACATTATCCCTTACTCCCATAAAACTATTTAAAAAAAAAAAGGGAATGAGCTGCTGTTTCTCACCAAGAGCACAAAAGAGGATGCACAGTTTTCGCCTGTGAGTGGCCTGGATGAGGTGTACTATTTGACTGAGGATTTCCAAGCCTTGGGCCATCTGCTGTTGGGTAACTTCATCAGTATCATCCATGGCATCTGAGCACCACTTCAACAGGAATCTTTGAGCAGAGGATTGACATTTCAGGAAAATAAAAGGAATGGATTGCAAAAAAGGTCTTTAGATTGACATCTCCCCTGTTGATAAGGAGTCTACACTTTCCTATGGTCCCATTACCAAGATACTTCAACAGTAGAAATACTGTTCAACAAGATGTAAGGTCAGATTGCACCCTCAATTTCCAGGGAAGATGCTAAAGATGACACAGCAGCCACATGAAAGTTCAGAGTTTAGCAACTTGCCTCAAGGCCAGATGGCATATTCCACTCATAGCCAAGCTCCAGAATAAATTGCATGATATTAAACAATTTTTGTTTGTTGTTTGATGCCTGGTTTTTGAGTTGATAAATATGTATAATAAATTAAGCATATAACTTATACAGATTAATCTAGAATGCAATCCTTAGATTAAGAAATCACTGTGCTTCATTCATTCTTGCAACATCACTACATTAGACAAACTATGCCTCTACTACCCTGTTCAACTCATAAATACAGCCCTTGACAAAGATAACATCTATGTATAACTTGAGAAGGCTAGACAAGAGTGCTACAAGAGGAAGACAGGTGGGATGAAGAGGGCAATATGACAAATATCATACTGGGAATCCATAAGCAACCATTAGACCTACCTGCCAAAATCACAGAGGAGCTTAAAAGGAATGTCTTCTTGGGAAGGAAAATGCTTCAGGTGCAGGAGAGTTGAATTCAGCAAGAAGTCCAGAAATCCCAAATTACATTTCCACACCTCTAGTGGCTCTTGATGATGTGGATTCTCATCCCTGTTAATTTTAATAAAAAATGGTTTCCTATACATATAGTAAAAGATAAACCACAATTTATTGAGAGTTATTAGGAGACTCACGACAGGATGGCTTGTATCATTTGTGCAAGAGACCTCAAGGACATCAAAGGAACATAAGGCAATAATTTAGTTGCCACTTTTTTTCCTTCTTGTTCCTCTTTCTTTTTCTTTTTTCCTGGCTTGGCCACAGCCTGTATGAATAAAAAAAAAAAGATTGATATATAGGCAAGCAATCATAAATATACATGTCACTCCATTAAATATAAGACTAAGGGTGTGACTACAACACCAAAAAACACTTATTTAAAATATTACAGCTTGTTTGACCCTTAGATTCAGAAGGGGCTCTGCTTCCACCAAGGAACCTTGGTTGAGTTGCAGCAATGATTTTGATTTGCTTTCTCAGTATAACTATATCTATTCTCAAAGTTTCTGCTTTAATGGGAACAAAGTAGTACCCTATCTTCCTGCCACCTCTGGTCACTTCCATCTAGCAAGGGTACATCTACCTCAAAAAGGGATATCACAAAAGGGAATGCCCTAATTGAAGCCCAAGTCAAAGTGAGCCATATTTAGAAATACACTGCTGGCAAATAAAAAAAAATAGAACACCTAGAATGAGCAACACTACAGCCACCAAACTTTGGCTATTTGTTGGAGACCCTGAGGTATGCAAATGATCAATCACTCTCTGATACTCTGACTCTGATGTGCAAATATACCTGAAGCCACACATTGTGAAAATGCAAGGAGAAGGCACCTCCCTAACACAGGTACGGTATATCTTGTGCATCTGTTGCATTTGACTTTCCTTATGTTGAACAAGCTTTTCCCTAAAATCTGACATTCACCACAGCAACACATTTGACTTTCCTTATGTCCTTATCGATAAGCAGTTCAGCAACACAATAGAATTTCCTTGTTGCATTTGACTTTCCTTTGTCCACATTTGACCTAGAAAATCTATAATTCATCAGAAGGCTTGATCAATCCATGAATTGAATGATGTTTGACAGACATGGGTCCCACTAGATAACTTTGCAGCAGAGAATTGTCATTTTTTGTAAATGGAGCTTAGCACCTCATTCACATCCACCAAAATGCCTCATGCCATTTTTCAATTGAAATCACAAAACACAATCAAGTTCCATTGGGGGATGCAATCTGAGCAGCTTACAAAAGCAAGTCAATCAAGCTATTCTTGTAAGATCATGAGGGTTTTCCAGAGGAAGCAGCTCCCATGTTACCTAATGAGTAAAAATCATAGTACACATGTACAAGATTATCCGCAAAGCCGGGAAAGTAACATCAGAGGTCGTCATTTTCCTCATAACCCTCTTGCACATTTTTTAGTTCAGGAAATTAGGAAACACCTCCCTCCACATAAAATAGATCTGTCACATACAGGGTGTTTGTATTTAAATGCAACATAGGGACATTTTTGCCCCCAGTTTGTAGAGTTCAGCATGTGCCCTATACTCACCAGGTTGCATATCTGGAAGGATGAAACCTATCACTGGTGTGTTTCCTTGCAGATAGGCAACTGGGTGGGCTATATAGTGTTTGCCAACCTCCACCTACAGGCTGCAAAACATTCCCTCTGTTGCATTTAAATATGAACACCCTGTATATATATTATTCTTTTAGATAGAAATGATCCTGCTTTTTCCCTGTAGTAAGTTGGCAGGCAATGCAAAAGTGCCTTTCACTGGCACTCAAATTTCTGTTCCTAGACCTCTCCCCCCTCTATGCTCCACAATTCTACTTGCTTCAGTCAGATTTTGCAGAAAACCTTATTCTATAGAAGAGCAAGAAAAGAGATAAGTCGATAAAAGAAATAAACCTCTTTCAAGGTGCTGTCAATTCGCCGTCGGAGAGCATGCAACTTCAGAAGGTCATTGGCCTCATCTCTTGTCATGTTGAGTCCACACTCTAGCCACATTCCTTCCATGAGGGCCTCACATACATTCATCACCAGTCTTGCTTTCATGACATTCAGAAGGCCAACATGGGTAGTTGAATTGTAATTAGCATTTGGATCCTATCAAAAAACAAGATATTCATGATTCAGTAATACCAACAGTAGGTCCTAGTTAATTCACCAGTAAATCAAGGAAAAGTTGAAGAAATGTTATTCAAGTTTTGGCTTGCAGTTGCATGAATTTTAATCAGATTGAGCAAATTTTAACTGTTTCCTGATTCTCCCTCTAACTCTGGCAAGAGAAATCTGACTTTGGTATCTCTGTTTTGTTCTATATATGCTACTAATTTTGGTATAGGGGGGGGGGGGTCAATCATTATGGATTACCTTGTATTCGTAATGCTTTCATTCAAATCAAGTAATTTATGAACTTACCAGATGGAGATCATTGAGCTCACAAGAAATGAGCCTCTCTCGTAAGCTTTTGAGCTCCTCAGAAACTTCCTGGAAGGCTCCAGGAGCTTGAGTGAGGCCAAACTGAGAACCCAACATTCTTGTTTTTACACATTCACTATCTCCAACAGCCTCCACATCTTCACTGCTTTCACTTTCCTCTTCCCCTTGTGCTTCAGATCCATGCCACTTCAAGCAATGGAACATGAGACTCAGCATCTCTCCTAGAGGTTCCTACATTTATGTAAGGAAATATCCAAAAAATACTCAAGTTCAACATTTGAAATAAAAAATCAATACCGAACTACTGTCACCATTCAAGATGTAATGATCTCCTACCAAAACGACAGGCTCATCTTTATCCATTGCTAAGCAAAGATCCAGATGGAATGGGGGTACAGCCTCTCCCTCAATGTATAGTGAGTGGAATTGATTGCACAATAAACTTAAGACAGGGCCACACAGCCGTTGATTACGTGACAAAGCTCCCCTCAACCCTAGAGAAATAGAAAATTGCATTGCTTCCAGTACTTCAGTCACAAGCTACACTTACAGGTAGAGGGAAATTCAATATCCTTACCTTGATAAATGATTTCCCGTATACCTGGGCTCCTGAGCATTGCTCTCTGCAAGATGCCTAGCATCTCACGGCACAAAGCTCGATTGTGCTTTGGATCAGTTTCTCCATGCACTTCTGCTTGCACCTAATACAAAAATTAAATATAGTTCATCTCCTCCTTGGTTCCAGATATGTAAGAGGCAATCAAGCTGTCAGATGAAATTACATGTAGGTCTAAATATTGGAATTGACAGTCTTGCCATTCCTAATAAATTACTGAAAAGACAGATATGGGTGGTGGTGGGGGGGAAGGGTTAACAGAATATTCCAAAATAAACTTTCTTGGTGATTTGGGAAACAATTTTTAAATTATGCCCTTTGGACCAAAAGTTTTCTGGTCTAAGTTCTAGGTATTCAACATATTTAATTCAAAAATGTTTTACTGCTACTTGTTGATAGGTGCTTATGATTGGTATTAAAAAATATAACATCTTAGGCCCAAATGCTGAAACTCCCTTTTGTTCTTTTAATACATGGACTCTAATGGAAGGAAAAGAGCTCTTTAGCTTAAAGGCCTCTCAAACTGCCCTAGATTAGGTTTCTGCATTCTGACCTCAGTGCTTAAGTATTGATGTGGTCCTGGGAGATGATTTAATTCAGTAAGATTGTCAGTGGAAAGTAAATGCATATGAGAGGCAAGCTGTTAGCAAATTTCATTCCCTAACTTTTAGCTTTAAGTTGAGATACCAACCAAATCATTAGTAATGAGCAAGGAAGTCAGCATCTATGGACCGAGATACATTTTATGCCCAGGAGGCAAATTTAAAACCTCTGTATCTCAGCTCTCACTTGCCTAGAATTTTGGCTGCAAGTTATTCTTGCCATAATACAACTGCAGGCCAAATTTATTACAATTCTAATAAAGTTAAGCACACAGATCATTGGCACACTTTCAATGAAACTTTCCATTTGTGCTTTGTGTTACAAGGCATTGTAAGGCTTAAATAATAGTTCTAATCCTCATTCCAACAACTTTTACTCTTCCATTGTTTCTCTAACTCATCATTATTAGTTGCATTTGCAAAGCAATCTTTCTCCCACAAAAATCAACCAGGTATTAGCAAAGAATCACTCTATATATGCTTCTCATAGATAATGCATATGTAAATCAGCAAAAAATTTCTATAGCTTGGAGCTAGTCTTCCTATGGTGCACCATAACTTTTGGATGACCAACCCAGTGGCATAGAGAATGGCAAGACATGTGAATCCTACAAAGCCTGCAGATGCAGCCTGTCATGGCCTTGAGAATTGCAAGGAACAAATACATACATGAAAAGAGTTAAGAGGAGTATAAACATGCTGAAACGGTATCCCTAGATATGGCCAAGAGCATCATGAGAATGAATAGAAATTTGAGATCTGTGGCAAAATGGGAAACCAATGTGCCTGGATTCTTGGTGCAAAAACCAGAAACTGTACTGTCCATAATTTACTGTTTTCAAATAACAAGCAGAATTCAGGCAAAAATAAAAAACCAGCTGAGATCATGGTGACAAAAACAGTCATTCCAATTTTTGTGTCCTGCTTTGATTCTTGTTTTTTTGCTTCATTCAATGTGACATGATAAAATGAAAATTGGATTATATTTACCTGGGTGAGGGAAAACACTGATTGAGAGGAGAAATGAGAAGACTGAGAAAAGGATGACTGGCTGCAATTCAAGTTGAAGGAACCAATGACCTGAAAATGCTTCAGAAGCAATAGGAATCCAACTGCTCCAACTTGCTTTGCCTCCAATGTTCTGGAAATATAGATATTAGAGGTTTTCAGAAGATCTACAGCACAAGATGTGATCCCCCTAGACATGCTTAATGAAAAGCTCACGGGCGGTAGAGGCCTTTGCGCAGAGCCATAAGCAGGGAATTCTTTAATGGACTGGACAACTTGATTAGTGGAATGACAGCTCTAAGCACTTCTTTAGCACAGGGCAACTGGAGCTCAATGATGTTATCCACAAGCATTTGCAGCTCACCAACATTTTCCAGCACTGACAGAGTAGCTTGTGAAATCAGCTCACCCAGGAATTCTTGAAAAATAATAAGAATTAATGACAATAAATATGTCACCCATGCAGAAGGTAATTGTTTTCTTTTGTGAACTCTTTTAAAAGCTTGAGATGAGCTTAAATTTCAAGCTCAGGAGTGTATAAAAATATCACATGTATCTTTTGGCCAACAGACTCTTGGAAGCCTTGTTCTACAACATGAATAGGAATGCCACACTTATGATTCAATAAACTTTAAGCTCAGGGAATAACTGCTAAAAGCTTTTCTATTAATCTTCTGTAAGAGTTCAGGGAGCTCTTACAAAAGAATAGCAGCAACAGTATCAATCAATACATAAATGTAAGTAGCTCTCACTTTACAGGCCTGAATAAAATCCTGATGCAGAAACTATTTCCTTGATGAGCTAGACATTCAGTATACCTTTCTACTAAGATTTTGAGCGGTGCCTACAAGCATTTTAATCTCAGGTATTCATGTCTGAAACATTGAAGGGTCAAGACAGGCAATTTTAAAAAAACACAATACGTTATGCAAAGGGGAGAAAAGTATCATCGGGTGTTTTTCTGAAGCGTGTCTATTGAGACCAGACTTATGTCAAGGGATGGATATGGAAGAAACAGTGAGAAAAATTGAGGCATGCCAAAAAAAAAGTGTCCTTCCCCCTGCATCCAGAGGCATGGCCTAGCCCAAAGCCACCTGCTATGATCCACCTTTTTCCTCAGTAGAACCCTGATTGCAGCTATGAACTAAACCTATTGGATAGGCTACAAATATTGAAGTTACATTTGCCTGTCTGCATGACAGACCATGACCAGGACATATCAGTTAGCATGGGACTGTACATGTGTGGTACATGTGTTTTAGACTTTTCTTCAAAAAATAAAGAAAATTAGTTCAAGCCCTCTAATTGATTGAGTGGATTTCTAAGTTGCTTGTGAAAGTTTTATCCTGTTTCATCAACACTTAGTGATATTAGAGCACTTTGAGTGGAAGCAAGTAGGTTAGTACAAAGTCTAAAAACGTTCAGAGTGACCAATGTACATTTGTGAGTTTCTTAAATCTGGGGTGAATCACAACTGGCCTTAAAACAGGAAAGAATTTTAACTGACTTGAGTAAGTCCCAGCATTGATATTTCCCATGATGTGGGTGACAAGAATCTTGAGCACCTCTGGAGTTAGCTCTGGCATTCTCCGTACTAACTTGATCAAAACAGCACATGCAATACTATGTGCCTTGTGTAAAGCAGAGCCTGCCATTGAATGTCGGAAATGTCCAGCACCCATCAGCACAAAACACAAATCAACAATCCCTCGACTCATGGATTCAAAGCCACTCGTCCTGAAATTGAAGCAATGAGGACATAATTCAGCACATCTCTGTCTGACTGCATCAATATAGTGTTTTAAAACATGAAAATTGTACATGAAAAGACTAGGAAAGGTTTGAGTTTAAGATCTTGCCTGCAATTGATGATTTGCAGTAGAGCATCCTGGGGCTTCCAACCTGATGTAATAGTACTTCTAATCCATGCAGATTCCTGTGCTTTTTCTTGCTCTCTAAGGTATCTCAACATAGAAGACTTCAACAGGTCTAGAATCTGGGATGGGTCAGAACAAAAATTTAAAAAGCCTTGCCTGAAAACTGAACCAAGAGTTCTTCAAAAAATACCTGTTCCCTATATGCAGTCAGTTCAGTGAGAGACAAGGCCAATCCCAGCATGAATGGTTTGAGGCTAATATCTGGGTGATGAATCCCCTTTTTCAATATTCGAATCACATCTGATATGAGGTCATGACCCACACAGACAGAATCCCTCATTTCTCTGATGATGGTCCAGTATGCTCCATGAACATCCTGAATGCTGAGACTCCCTGGGAACATGTTCAGGAAGATGAGAATGCTGTACTCATTTAGGTAAAAGAGTTATGGGACCAAGGGGATGCAATTGCATCTTATACCATCAATGACACTTCAGGCATAAAATTAAAAAAATTTCCAGAAACAAGAAATGTCTCCATCATCTTCAAGCAATAAGAAGGAATAAAAATAATAAATATTAAAAAATTAAATGGCATGTTGAAGGCTCTCCATTCTACTCACTGTCAACTAAAATGTGTACTAATGCATGCACGAACATGCATGTCCTGCACCAAGAGATGATATCTCCATGACCAGTGTCCTTTTATGTCATGATTCACATTCCAAAAAGGGCATCAACCAAGGCAAAAAATATATAAAAAAGAGATGCACTGGCTTTTTCTTGTGGTGAATTAAGACATGCTTCCATCTATTGCTATAGCTTTCTGCTAATAAGGTCTGTGTTTTCCTACACACCCAAATTACCTACATGCTGGAAAAACCCTGGTGTATCTAGACCTTGTGCCTATCCAGATTTTGTGCCTAGATATAAAATACTTTTTTTTCCCATCCAAATACAGTGTTTGACCACTTTGTCAGGGCCTGCTGCCCACAGGGGCCACTGCTCAAGTTGTGTCACTATTGATTTATGGAGGCATTCCAGTAGTGCAAGCTTTCCTTATTTCATATTGCAAACAGACAACACCACACTAGCTCATAGGTAATGCAGCAATAAAACCCTTATCCAAGGAAGCTTACATGGTCAGTTCAATATGGTTTCCATTGCAATGAGTAAAGGCAGGGATTTAATGCCATTTGAGAGAGACATGATTGCATGAGCACACCAAGCCAGCACTACTTTAGCACAGGTTACCCTGCTAAGTAATATTAAGATGACTATTATCCATCTCATCAGCATTGGCAAGGGGACAGCAAAATGTTAGCAGCAAGACAAAACTGTAGTCATGAACACCTCATCACAGAGAGGGCAAAAAATGTTTGAGAGGCTGGTGAAATCAAATTGATGCCAGACATTGGAAATTGACAAATTCATTCAGTACTAAGCAACCCTCAACTGTGTCAACCTGTTCCATCTTACAAACGTTGTTGCAAATAGACCACCACAGCCAGATGGTCCCACTAAAATTAGGCAAAAATAAACTGGCCGAAAAGTAAAATGCTGAAAGGAAAAATTGTAGAATACCAGAATGTCAAAAGTAAAAAATAGTGAAAAGACAAAATTTCGAAATGAAAATGGTCAAATCAAGCTTTTCAAGTCATTGTATCTACAAGGTAAACACTCAAGTTGACCATTTAGAAGCTTAGATTGCATGTGATGGCTCACAGATACTCCATGGCACCTTGATTGTTGTAAACATCGCATATTGCTTTCAGTCATGCATCATAGGTAACATCTTGCTTCCTCTGTTTTTTTTTTTATGGGTGGCCCATTTCTCACCTGGCAATCTCCCATTCCACATATAATTGCTCCTTTTCTGATGCTTGAAGGGGGTGAAGCACATTAGGATGGCACTTTCTGAGGATGGAATTTAAACAGTGATGCCACCGTTCAAGATAATTAGTTGTCCGAGGCTTGTTGGATTTGACATGATCAAGCACATTCCACATGATTGGCAGAATGCTGCACACCTTCATGGTCTCCCATGCAGCTGGCACCCATCAACATATAACTCCCTTAAATAGGCAGCCACTGGCATGGCTTCCAGATGCATAGTGGGAAGGAGTTCTTCAACTAATGTTTGTCTAACATTTTGTCCTAGTAATGCAAGTCAGTGAAAGATTACATCACCTCAATTGATATAATGGCTGCAGTGGCTTCATTCGTTTCAGCTGCTTTCCTCTTCAGTGAAGCCTGAAAGTCCTCCTCCAGAACAGCTGAAGCCATAGGAGCATGGTTAGTATAAATTTCTTGAGGTTTTTCTTTTACCAGAAATTCACCCTCAGTCACTGCTCATGCATTGCAGTTGCGGTTCTGGCATCTCCAATAAGTCTTCCTGCCAGGATGCTTGTCTTTGGAGAACATAAAACCATGCAGAACTAGTAGCCTCTTCCCCTTCTAGGAAACACTGAAACAGAGTTCGCTACTTTTCGCCATGCCTTGCACACTTTCACACTCCTGGCCACACTGCATTGAATGGGAGCCAGAATTCAACATGGTCTCACTTTTGAACACTATCTTTCTATTGATAGGAACTGGAGAACAAGCTGAAAGATCTGTCTCAGGTCATGACTCAGTCAACTCATTGGGCTCTCAATTTTTTGTATGAATTCCAAGATTTTGACATTCAATTAGTTTTCTACCACTTTTCACATGCACCTTCTTGGATATTCAGTGAAAGTTACATTCGACTTTTGTTTGTGGAGACATTCTGTCCCAGCAACGATTTTCTTTTGGAAAATTTTTGCTTTTCGACCTTTCTTATTTCAACTTTTTGTTAGCAAAATCTAGCCAGATACCATTGCAGAAATTTCTGATTTTTGGTGCAAACAGAGAAGTTTGGCTACAGTGGTGTTAGAAGTGGCAACATTGAATCATAGATGACTGAAAGAAAGTGATGTGGTCCAATGAGTCATGGTTCACCCTGTTCTGCACAGATGGACAGATTCATGTGTGGATAAACTGCAAGAAGCCCTTAGCCTGGTGTGTGGTACCTTGGGTCCAGGCTGCTGGCAACAGTGTAATGGTGGAAGGAATGTTCTCATGGCATGGTCTGGGTCACTTGGCAATCCTAGATGGCCAAACAAGTGTCAGGGTGCATCTAAATGCCATTGCCAATCAGACATACAACATGAAGATGCATTTCTACCCTGATGGTGATGTCTACTTTCAGGGCAATAATGTGGCAATTCATTGTGTATGCATTATCCTTGCATGTTTTGAAGAGCATTAGAAGAACTTCAGGCATCTTCATTGGTCAGCAAAATCCATTTCTCATCAAATCCACTTGAGAATTCATGAAACAAACTCAAACAGCACATTTGTTGTCACATGCCTCTGCTGCTTTCATTACCTCAGTTGAGTACACTGCTGTAGAACAAGTGAAGCAAAATTCTGACCAACACCTAGCATCTTATGGAATCCAAGCCACATCAATTTGTATTTCAGTCAAAAGTAATCCAACCTGGTATAAGGTTGGGGTCCTAAGAAAGTGGCCAAGCAGTGCATGAAGTAGGCTCAGCAAAGGAGGAATGCCACACCACACCAACTAAAATGAATCAATACTAAGGCTGCTGTTCAAGTATCCAGCAGCTTTCAACGATAATGCAATACTACGTGAGTAGTAAAGGCTGGGTGGGGTGGGGGCTTAGATCAGTGGTTCCCAAACTTCTTTGAACCATGACCCACTTCCTGATGCCCAAAAAAGTTTGCAATTCACCGCAATCCAGAATGAGGTATTTTAAAATTAATTATGGCAAGAACTCAGATCATATTAACATTTTTTGCAGTGCTTGCTTCATTCTGAGCATGACTTGTGCATTTGGGGCACTTTGCAGAGGTGCTCTATTCAGGGAGAAATCTTTCCCAAGGCGAGTCGGAGATCGTTCTCAACTTGCAGCTACGAACGAAACTTTAAAAAAAAATCAAAGTCAGAGCAGAGAATCCTGTTTTACACAGATATATGATAGTGAAGGAAAGCAATGCCCATGTCGCCTTTACAAGAAGGGGGATATTCTTTGAATTGAGAGTAAGGTGGAAGGA